AAAATTAAATGTAAGAGGTTGAAATTTCCTCTAAATTTTAGACACTCGGATCAGAGAACTTCAAGCATTTTTACTAAGTAGTCATTTTGTAATAAATTACAAATGTTTTCTACAGTGTATATTATTAATGAAATGTTTTAAAATTGGAAAATAAGTCTTGAACTTTACATTTTTTAATCATTTATTATAATTTTTAAACTAAAATTGATCAGATGAAAGCCACAGAGGCAGCATGTGGACTAGGAAGACATGCTGAGTGGAAGCAGTGATAAGGACTGTTAAACGCTGTTCGCTTGGGGTTTTCATGTACAGTGTTGACAATAGTTCCACAATGGTCCACAGTCCTCAATAGTAGTTTGTGGAGTATTAAGCATCCAGGTTGACAGATAAATCATTATCAAAATACAATGACAAATCATCCCTTTTTAGTATTGGGGAAAGAAAAAAATGTATTGAGTAAATTTATTAGCAAGAGTTTTTTGTTTGTTTGTTTGGTCTTTTTCGTCTTTTTCAGACAGGGTCTCCCTGTAGCCCCGGCTGGCCTGGAACTCACTATGTAGACCAGCCTGGCCTTGAACTCACAGAGATCCGCCTGCCTCTGCCTCCCAAGTGCTGGAATTAAAGGCGTGCGCCACCACATCCAGCAAGAAACTGATTTTTAAATGATAGAACTTTTGAAGACTGTGGGTCTTTAAAAGTTGCACTGTGTTTTATGCTCCCCATGGTGGTGCATGTCTTTAATTTCAGTGCTTGGGAAGCAGAGGCAGGAGGATCTCTGTGAGTTTGAGGTCAGCCTGGTCTATGTAGCAAGTTCCTGGTCAGAGAGGTCTACATAGTGAGACCCTGACAAAACACAAAACCAAAAAGTTGTATTGTGTTTTATACTATGATATTAATTTGATGTCTTGGGGACAAAGAAAGGAAAGGTTATGGTTTAAAGTGATGTGTTTGTATGTTGAAGTTGCCAAGGGGTAGATGGTTATGGTTGGCTTTGGTTGTCAATTTGACACTCCTGGGAAGAGGGAACCTCAACTGGAGAATTTCCTCCATGGAACTGGCCTGTGGGCCTGTCTGTGAGGCATGTTTTTTGACTGCTGAGTAATATGGGAGGGCTCAGCCCACTGTAGGTGGTATGACCTCCCCTCCTCCCCTGGTAGGTGGCCCTGGGTTATGTAAGAAAGGCTGTACACAGGCCAGAGAAGCAAGTCAGTAAGCAACATTCCTCTGTAGCCTGTGCTTCAGTTCCTGCCCTGGCTTCCCTCAATGATGAATTGTTTCCTCCCCAAGTTGATTTTGGTCAGACTGTTTATCACAGTAACAGAAAGCTAACTAGAACACAAAGGGACTAGGAAAGGTGTGATGTGCCATTTGAGAAACTGAAAGAACTTCAGCAGGACTGGATAGACTGCTAAATACAGCAGTGTCAGAACGTGATGTGGCATCATTTAAAAGTACTCTAGGGACAGTGGGAAGCTGCTGGGGGCATTTTACAAGTGCACTGATAGGATCAGCTTTGAATTTCTGAAGCATTCTTTCTGAATAAAGATTCTTTATTCTGAATAAAACAATCAGTAGATGTGAAAGCACACACCTGTAACACCCCGCACTCCACAGGCTGAGGCAGGAGGATCCCAAGTTCAAGGATAATCTGGCTCCATAGCAAGAGTCCTTCTACACACACATATATGCACACGCACACACACGCACATGCGCGTGCACACACACATGCGCGTGCACACACACACACACACACACACATGATTGAATGAGAAGCTGGAAGACGTAGGCTACACAGGTTTATACTTTAAAAGACAATAAGCAAGAGAGGTAAGTGTTAAACTAGCATAGTTGCAGGATAGACAGACTGGAGATATTCAGGAGATAAAATCATTAGGACTAGCTGACTGATGGGGGAAGAGGTAGGAAGAATGAAGAAAAAATAGTGATGATGAAAGCTAAGGATTTAGTTCAGTGATGGATTGTGTATCATGCACAAGACCATGGGTTCAATCCGAAGCACTGGAAGTAAAAAGTATCAATAAATGACAGTAAAGTTTTTGACTCTGGACACAGGCAAATGATGTTAACACTCATTGATGATGGGTGAGAGACTGGAATGGTAAGAAAGGATGTGCTGAATCTGAGGTTATAGAACATGTCTATTGAAGAAGGACCTTAGGAAACATACAGATAAATGAGTCCAGTGAAAGAGGTGGTCTAGAATGATCCCTGAAAAACAACATTAAAGAGAGGGGATAATACATGGGCACCTGACAAAATGAGCAAGATGCAGCAAATCGGCAGAATAGCCACAGCCACAGAATTAACAGAAAGATCATTTTGAGAAATGATGACCAGAGATGGTCATTAATGATACATGTTGAATGCTTATGCTGTGCTAGGCATTTCATGTACATCTAACATAATCTTCACAACCACTTTTTACACAAAGTTGAGACTATAACTTAAGAGCCCAAGTCTTGAACAGTCTTGAACTCCTTTTGTAAGAGCAGCCTTTCATGTGAGGTAAAGGACAACTGTATGTAATTAATTTTACCTTTTAAATTTCTTTATACATATTTTATAGTATATATATGCAATTCAGAAAAAAAATATTAGAAGGATATATTCTACAGGCTGGGAATAGTAGGTAGTGCATCCCTCTAGCCTATATATATATATACACATACGCCTATAATCCAAGCAGAAGCACAAGAATCACCAGTAGGAGCCAGGCATGGTGGCTCATGCCTTTAATTCCAGCACTTGGGAGCAAAGGAGGCAGATCTCTGAGTTTGGGGCCAACCTGGTCTACATAGTGAGTTCCAGGCCAGCTGGGGCTACAGGGAGATCCTGTCTCAAAAAAAAAAAAAAAAGAAAAAAAAAATCACCAGTCCAAAGCCAGTCAGAGCAATGTGGTTAAGTTCAAGGCCAGCCTCAGCTACACAGTGAGACACTATTTCAGAAAACCAAAGGTTTAGAATAAAGCCCAGTGGTAGAGCACTTGCCTAGCATGCTCAAAACCCATCCAACCCCCAGTATCACCAAAAACAACAAAACAGAAAACATCTGCAATCAAATCCTTTTCTTTGCCATTCATATACCATGTTTCAACTTCTCTATGAGTGCTTCATTGTCATCCAACTTCAACTCATTGACTTTATCTATCAGTCCTTCAATGTCGCCCATACCTATAAGACACAAAAAAGAAAAATCAACAGTTAATAATACACTCAGTTTAACATTATGCAAAACACATTCATACATCTGCAACTTAGCAAGGCAGGCTGGCTAAGTCCGCCTACATTTTACAGGGGAGAAAATTAAAGCTAAAGAGGTCAAACGGCAGCAAATAGAGCAGGGATGAGAGCCCAGGGCTGACCTCCGAATTCCGTGCTCTCTAACTATACCACTTTAAGACATTATAAAAGGTTTACTGCCATTACAATTTCTACTACTATAACCATGTATTTCTATGTTGTACACTAAAATTCTCCCAAAGAACTTTGAATCTAATTACAAAGATCCAGATGACCTCTATACTTCTATATCTCATTTTACCATAGCAAAGGAGGTTAGAGGGCTAGAGATGTAGCTCAGTGGCAGAGTGCCTGACTAGTACATGCAAGGCCCTGAATTTGATTCCCAGCAAAAGAGAGAGAGAGAGAGGAAGAGGGGGAGGAGGAAGAGGAGGAGGAAGAGGAGGAGGAGGGGGAAGAGGAGGAGGAAGGGAGGAGGAGGGGGAGGAGGAGGAGGAGGAGGAGGAGGAGGAGGAAGAGGAGGAAGAGGAAGCAACAGCAGCAGCAAGATAAAGGTTAGGAAGATGAGTCACAGAAGAAAATTACTTTCTTAAACTATTTACTAAAGACATGGTTAGAATCCTTATTGAAAAGATCCAGATGACCTTGGTGATTCTTCTATACTCTCACCATTGTACCTACCAAGAAGTTTACTGATGAACGGTTGTGTTTTGAAAGGTTCAAAGTCATCTATATGTTCCCCTGTACCAATGAAAATAATTGGACTTTTTGTGGCAGCAACTCTACACAGAAAAAATAAAGTAAAATAAATACATAAATACATAAATAAATTTCCAGCACATTTTTCAAAGCTAAATAGACAAAAGAAATAAAATTCAAGTTTCTTTTCACAAGTTAAAAAGAACTATACCAGAAAGTCTACAGAATTCTGTTTCTATTTAAACTTTACTTAAGTATCATATCAGGTCCAGTAGCAGAATGCTTTAAAAAAAAATGAACTAAAAAAAAATATATACACAAATATACACATAATCCCAAAACACAGAGCAAATCATTTATATGAGTACAGGATTTAGTGACAACCAAATCAGCAAAACTTCCAACTGATACTTACGCACTGAGGGCACCACCTCCTTTCGCATGGCCATCAAGTTTAGTCACTATTACTGAGGCTACATCTACCTTATCTTTAAAAGCCTTAGCCTGGGCTTCACAAGCCTGCCCAATGGAGGCATCCATCACATAAACAATGTTATCAGGTTGCTAGAAAGAGTAAACAGAAAAGATAGATATTCTGATTAATGTTGAGCAAAGCTTACCATAAGAAGATAAACAAAACTTACTATAAATATTATTTAATCAGAAATATTTGTTGAGGAAACACTACAAATTAGGTAGCTATAGGTCTTGAAGACAGAGAGATCAATATAATCTTGTCCTCATGGTACACGGAAAACAATATGAAAGCTTCTTTGGAAATAATTTTCAGCTGAGGCCTGAATAAAGAAGAAAAATTACACAACAATCCACAAGAAGGACACCCAAAGGCAAAAGAAGAGCAAAACTACAAACTGCTGGAATGAATTCTGAAAACAAATGAGTAATAGACTAAGGATATTTCCCTGACATCTGCTCACCTTGGTCAAAATAACAGCACAACTAAAAAGACTCTAATTACTATTAACCACTAATCAAAGAATTACTAACAACATTCCAATAGCAAAATATGAGTTTCAGGATAGAGAGATGGCTCAGTGATTAAGAGCATTTGTTGTTCTTGCAGATGAACCAGGTTCAGTTCCCAGAACCCACTTGGTAGTGGCAGCTCACAACCATCCATTAACACTAGTTCCAGGGGATCTGATGCCTCCAGGGGGACTATACACATGTACATAGTACACTAACATACATGCAAGCAAAACATTCATACACATAAAACAAAAATAATAAAATCTTTTAAATTATTATTTTTATTTTATGTGTATGTGTGTGTTACCTGCATGTAGGCAGTGCACCCATGTCGAGCAATATCCATGGAGGACAGAAGGGGCTGTCAGATCCCCTGGAACTAGAGTTACGGACAGTTGTTAGCTGCCATGTGGGTGCTAGGATTCGAACCCGGGTCTTCTGCAAGAACAACCAGTGTTCTTAATTGCTTAGCCATCTCTCCCGCCCCCCAAAAATAATAAAATCTTTTAAAAAGAAAAAGATCTAGGGGCTAGAGAGATGGTTCAATGGTTAAAAACACTGGCTGCTCTAGCTCAGAACACAGGTTCAGTTCCCAGCACCCACATGGCAACCAACAATCATCTTTTGACTTCCACTGGCATTGCATGACACAGGTACACTTACATACATGCAGGCAGAACACTCAGACATAAAATAAAAAAGCAAGTAAGTAAAAAAAAATTTTCTTTAAAGACTTGAGTTCCTAATGTATGCTACTGGTGTTAAACTACTGCTAACCCCCACATCATTTCCAACATGATGTTAAAGTAGACACTAAGTGTTAATTAATATTAACACTTCATTTTGAAAAACTTTTAAAATTCATGTTTTCACTAAATTTAAGTAACTTAAAAGAAAATCAACAAATATCAAAAGTTTAATTCCTAATTATTTTTCTTTTTTGAAATAGGGTCTCACTATGTATCCCTAGCTAGCCTGGAACTCACTTATGTAGACCAGGCTGGCCTGAAACTCACAGAAATCCACCTACCTCTGCCTCCCAAGTGCTAGGATTAAAAGCATGTGCAACCACACCTGATTAATTCTTAATTTTTTATAATTTTTAATTTTTTTTACAATAGGAATTATTTTGCATTTTTTAGAGAAAGCTTAACGCCAATTAAGCTTTTGCTCTATCCACACCCTTCTGTTTGAAGAACATTAAATGCAATTACACACAAAAAAATTAGGACAAAGGCAGGGGGCATGGTGCACACCGATAGACCCAACACTCCCCAGGCAGAGACAGTATCTTGGGGTGTTTGAGGTCAGCTGGGTTTGTCTCACAAAATACTAGCAAATATAGCCAGAGAGTATGACCAAAAGCGAACCTGGGTAGAATGATGATCCAAGACTGGCCCATGAAACAGACCAGGTATGTGAAATGTGAAGTAAGAATTTTGTTCCGTGGATGGAAGCTGAACTGCTTAGAATCTAAAATTGAGTCAAAGGCATACAGCTCAGTTACATGAGAAGTCAGTTTCTATTCAGGTAAACTGAATGGTATGGCATTAGTGTGTTCCTTCAAAAACTCATGTTTAAATTCAATCCCAAATGTGGCAGGACATAGGGATTTGGAGAAACTGAGTTAGAGGACCAAAGCTTTGTCTTCAGCTATTGGCACCCCTATGAAAGGGCCAACAGCCTAGGATTCCACTCCCACCCTTCTCTTCCTTGTCTGCCTTCAGGACAGCTTTGTTTTCCCCATTTGGAAGACACAGAGATCAGGTACCATGTTCAAAGTGTGAACCAGCATCTCAAGGGACACCAAACCTGTTATTCCTTCATCTAGTCTCCAGAACTATAAAAAATAAATGTTTGCTATATATAGTATTTAGTAGGCCAAAGATAAACTCACACTAGTGTTGGGTTTCTTGGTCAAAGCAATTCACAATCAGTACCTAACATAACAGGATAGCATAATCTATTTTTATACAGTAGTCTTCAAGGCAAATTCGTGGATCCTTAAAATCTAGCTATGTATTAACATAATTATCACCGTTCAGAGAGGAGTCTTGCATTTACCTCACTGGCCTTGGCATTCACCTTCCTTCCCTGAGTCTCCTGAGTAGGGATTAGAGGTGTACCTCTATGCCTAGCTTTTCTTTTAAGGTGCCAGATTCCCCTTGAATTGAAGTTACAGTTGTAGGTGCTGGAAATTGAACCTGGGTCCTTTGCAGAGCAGCCACTGCTCTAATCCGCAGTCAACTCTCCAGCTCCTCCATACCAACCTTCTTTATTTTGTCCCTGTGCTGATTTAAAGCAGCCAGCTTGAAACTAAATACTTTATAAATATGTGGTTTAGTCAAATAGTGCATTTGCTGCACATTAAACCACATCACTTAGCAAGAAAAATGTCGATGGGAAATACAAAACAAACTAGAACAATGCATTTGCCATTCTTCCAGAGGACCTGGGTTTCATTCCCAGGATCTGCAGTGGCCAGCAACCTTTTTTAACTCTAGACTCTGTTGGAATTGTACCAGGATACATGTATGCAACACACTCATACATATAAAATCAAAATAAGTCTCTATAGTGAGTTTCAGGCCAGCTGTGGCTAGAGGGAGACAGAAATAAATAATCTGTTTCAAAAAGACCAAAAACACCAAGGGAGAAGACACCCCATTTCAATTTAAGAAAACACTATTCCGTCTGAGGCTTTTATTTCTTCTCGTACATTAAGCTATGAATTCATAGGGAATGGTTCCAGCAGCTCAGGCTCCTTTCCGTTAGTTCTCACAAAGTGTGCTTCTCTGGGTGGGGCGGGCTGGCGCTTCAACTGAACCCAGGTTCCTTTTTCTTTGGCTTCCTTTTTTTTCTGGTCATTTTCCTTCATGTGCTTCCGGAAGCTGTCTCGGCTCTTAAGAGCGCTTAATATGCTCAATATACACATTAATTCTCTTGGCAAGAATCTTGCCCTTAACTTGCTTGTTTATGACAATGCCAACAGCATGCTGAGTGACGCTGCAGACGCTCCCAGTTTTGCCATGGTAGCATTTATGGGGCATTCCTTTTTGAACAGCACCCATTCCCTTAATGTCTACACTATCACCCTTCTTGTAGATTCACATGTATGTGGCCAAAGAACAACTCCATGCTTTCTAAAAGGCCTAGAGAACATGCAGCGGGTGCCACTTCTCTTTCCCTTTGTGTTTGTCATTTTGGCAAATCACTGGAAGATATGGATGAGTGTTTTGCCTGCACATATGTACATGTACTATCTGTGTGCAATGTTCTGCTGAGGCCAGAAGAGGGTGTCAGATACCCTGGAACTGGAGTTATGGACAGTTGTTAGGTGATAAGACTCAAATGGGGAGCCGGGCATGGTGGTGCACACCTTTAATCACAGCACTGGGGAGGCAGAAGCAGGTGGATCTCTGTGAGTTCAAGGCCAGCCTGGTCTACATAGTGAGTTCCAGGCCAGCTGGGGCTACGCTGTCTCAAGAATACCAAAAAAAA